TTAGTGATTCAAGAACACTCATTTGGTCCTTAAGAGTGGGATTCACGATTATTGTATCTGCTATCACACTATATTATATTATGTGGTGTTTTTCAGATAGCTGTACTGTCAACCTCAGGGGATATTTCCTGTGATCACAGGCATGTCATACTTTGGGACTTATCGGGGGGGATGGCCCCTTTTTGTAGACTGAATGCAAGTTCTTCAGTGAGCTGTCTGAAGGACTCGACAAAAACCACATTTGAAGAATTTAGGGATTATGAAAATTAAGGATTTCCCAAATATTTGCCGACTGACACATTAAAAGTCATTTGCAGTTGAAGACAGCATGTATAATTTTGAAATGATGCTTGATTCCCCTCCTGGTGGGAGTTTAATGTGAAGATTGATACCACTCTCAAATCTGTCTGGTGAATAAATGACCCGTAACCAAGAGCCAGTTAGCTACGTATGTTCATAGGTCACTGCACTCTGCCAAGTAGTGTCTCACACTGTTTTAATGACTACTTGTCTTTTTTCAAATTCATTTTAGTACACGTTTAATAAACCGACCATAAAATCACAAATGTTACAACTACATGGAACAAAGAGACACATCTGGGGTCAAAGGGCAATGTTCCAATGGTCATACAGCATGCCATGTGGCCATTTCCTATAAACTCTGAAGCATATCTCTTATTTGTATCATTTTTTTAGTGCTTTTATTGTGTAAGGGAAACATTTTGTGGAATAAAATTCAAGATTTAAATGTAGGAAAATTCCAGGGCCCTTAAATATATAACAGAAGGATAAACAGATTTGTAAAGTTTTGCATGAAAGTGTAGGTTACACTAACAGTGTATGTGAATAACAAGTGGAGGTAGAGATCCATGATTGCAGCTACTTTCATTGTATTCACAGGGTGAATTACCTTTTTTAGTCAAATAATCTGAAACACAAAATAGTGATCTTGAAGTTTTAAATTAATTTGTGTTAATGTCAGAAACGGTACAAAGGCTTGCTTATTATTATGGTCATGTCATATTAGAGAAAAAGATCAAGGTCGTAGCAATGACTGAATTTCCCTCCCAACAAAATTTCCAGGAAGGAATAAAAGCCACCTAAGAAGTCTTTTGAACTGTACACTAGGGGTAATAAAAGCAGAATTAAGGCCCTTTGTGAAATACAATAGGGATAGAGACAACAGGGAAGGGGTTCTATAAAAAAGATGAAGAGTACAGGAAAAAACAAAAATTGGGGTTTTGGGGTAATTTTTCTGGTTATTATTGATCTCTATACTCTATACAGATACAAAATGAACTGAAGCAGTGTTGAATGACAGACTACGAGTATAGTAATATCACAGATATGAACTCTTAGCAAATGACCTGATTCATGTTAAAGTTAAGTACTTTGAATATTAAGTAACGAGTAAAACTGGAGAATAGTTGATCAGTCTGAAAGCAGTAAAGTGTAAGCATCTCTTAATGTTTGAATTGATAAAGTGGTTCTAGATTTAACATGTTTGTCTCGTGCCAGGTAGAGTAATCCATAAAAGTCTTTCATGATATAATGGTTTATATGTAGTAGTATTAATCTGAGCTTTAGTTAACAGGATGTAACAATAAGTTAATTGAAATGTAGTAAATATATGTTGTAAATAACATAATTTGGAAATACCATTACTAGTCAAGTAAATTAGTATTGTAGGCCTGCCAAACTACAATATTTGAGTAAATATACTTAGATCCCCCTCGGGGGTAAATCTTTTATTTTCTCACCACTGCATTAAGGCCATAATGTACTTTATCCACAGACGATCTGCTCATCTCATTAAATGAGAAAAACAACTTTTGTGTTCATTCGAGAGGTCAATTGTCAGTATTTTTCATAGCTACAGATGGATCGCAACAGAGAAAGGCTTTGATAATGTAGTGATGTGAGGCTTCTTCAAAACTCTTCAGCCTTTACAAAACACAGAGCCGGATCCCCTGGAGTCGAGATGCTCTGGTTGGTGGTGATGGAGTTAAGTCAGCAGGTGGTTGATGGAAACTCTCAGCTGAAGCTCTGGAGGCAATGATGCTGATGGGGAGCGGTGGGTTGCACAGTAGTTGGTCCGAATGACAGAATCACTCAAATATTTTAAAGAACAGCATCATAGGCCAAATGGCTAGATAGACTGTGTGACGTCAGAATGGTGAATGTAGAGACAGAAGGTTACAGTAGGAAGAGCCAACTGAAAATCAACCGCAGAGGAATATGGGCAAATGTTCATTGAACCTTCCCTGAAAATTCACAAATACCCTCAATAAACAAATACAGCATGGTGTGGACCAGTATTGTAAAGACATTTCTTATCATGATCTGAATAATTAGATAGTGTCCTGATCTACCAGTATGCACTGTTGATACATTGATATTCACAAGTGCTTTAAGAGGAGGGTTGAGATGAACCTTGTGTTAGCAATGACATTGAAAGAATGCTTTATACCTTAAAAAACAACCAACCACCGTTGCTACTCTTCTTTCCTCCTCACTTTGACACACACCACCACAGACTCAAACACACACACAAACTCAAACTCATACATAAAATCAATAAATAATATTTTCAACCTCAAACACATTGATGCAGAAAGGACTCCTTTGCATGTGTGTTCCTTCCTTCTTCCTTTATCGATTATTAGTGTACTTAAATAATGGTGACATATGCCCTTCACAGTTACTCAAAATGACGTCTTCGCTTCCAACGATCTTAACCTCAATATCAAATAACACAGGGGCGCCAGTTGGCCTAGCGGTTAGTTTGGATGCCCAATTTACAGTGTGAGGCTGTTGTCCTCGAAGCAGGCGGCCCTGGTTCAAGTCCACTCTGTGACTCCTCTGTCTTCACTCTCTCTCTGTTCCTGGTTTTGTACTCTGTCCACTGTCCTATCTGAATAAAGGCATGAAGCCCAAAATATACCTAATTAGAAGGAAAAAAATTAAGGATAGATAATTATCGAAATACTGGTTTCTAATTTTTTTCTTTTCCAAAAATAGATAAATCCGCTGTGTGTTTCAGCTGTGCTTTAACTGCTAGATAAATGGATATAATTTCATTGGCCCAGTGGGATATTTGCCCTGAATTACACAATGCTCTGATTCAGTAAAGACACAACAATGCACATAATATATTGATTGCACGTCAATTTAAATCATCATAATGTAATAATAATCAAAAATTGCAATGAACAAAGAGCAAGTACAGCTACACATAAATACACAATACAACCTAAGTGGTGTTGAGGGTTTAAATGGACATGAGGAAATAGGAAGGTGGTGGGGGTGGAGAACATGAGTTTCTTTGTGCCTGTCTGATAATAGTTGGTCTGGAGGATTGGGTGTTGATGGACTCCCATGATTTTCAATGGTTGTTACTTTGAGTCTGTTGATTTGGGCCTTAGATTGAGATGTCAAATTTACAAACCATGCAGAGTTACCATATCGAAGAAGGCTTTAACTTCTGTGTCAGAGAAATGAAGCTGCACTTTTGGGCTCACATTAAAGGGTCTGTGTCTTCTCAGGAAGTGCAGCCTCTGTCCATGTTAGTACATCTTAAGTTGTAAAGTAACCAGTGACTACAGGTTAAAACGACAATTCTCTTATGTTTTCTCAAAATAGATAATGACCTCCAGTGTGTGCATGAGTAAATATACGTTCCACCAATGCCTAAGGGATTCAATGCAGAGAACCACTGTAATAGTTATGTTAAGCACCTGCAACATGCAAATCCAGAGTAAAGTTCTTATTATCACCTACAAAGCCCTCCATAACGTGGCTCTGAGCTCCTCCACCGGCAAACTCCCACCCCCACTCTTAGGTCTGCTGACGCAAACCTCCTGCCCCCCCTTTGGTCCTGGGGAGATGGGGCCTTCTCTATTGCTGCTCCCACCCTCTGGAATCCCTCCCAAAAAGCATTAGAGACTCCCACTCACTCTCCACCTTCAAGAAATCCCTAAAAACTCGACTCTGCGACATCGCCTACAACCACTAACAAACTGAACTCTCATCCTCCCTCTCTCAGATTATTTCTTCTTTGTATTGTTTTGTTTTGTTGTTGTTCTTTGTTAAGCTCCTTTGAGAACTCAGAAAAGTCTAACAAGTCTAAAGTATTATTATAATAAAGGCTTTGTGGTATCTCCATAGTGAAGTCAACATGATGGTTGGCATGTCCTATTGTTCGGCCAGGGAGAACTATAATACGTCATCCATTTAGTGCAAACTTAGTACATTATGAACATGCAGTGTTTCCCCTCCCATTATATTAGGGGGGGCGGCCCGCCCCCCCCTGAAGGACAAGTAAAAAAAATATTTTTTAAGATTTATTTTTGGGCTTTTTGTGCCTTTATTGTAGGGATAGGATAGTGGATAGAGTCGGAAATCAGGGAAAGGAGTCATTTAAGGATACCTTTCCTATAGAAAAGGACAGCTGTCATTAAAAGTAACGCATGAACACTAAGATTCCTTCAAGTGTTTGTGTTGTCGTGTCAGCATGTCGGCTTGTCCCCACCCCCCCAACGCTGTAAACCCAGGGGAAACACTGACATGCATTAATGGAAGGTTTCATATAAACTTTGTCACTTTATGTAAGGGAGACATCTATATATACACATAATTTACATTCATTTATATGTTATTTGTAATATCATGAAGTCATTGTGACAGTTCTGTGAGATCCTGCAGATGATGTCAGTCACTAGTTATTTATGTACATTAAAAAAAATTCTGCATTTATTTTTCAACTGATCATAAGTTGTAATACTCCACTGTTTGTAAATATATTGTATTTAGCTGATTGGTGTTCCTGTTCCTATTTGGTGTGGCAAATACGTTTTTAAATCAATATCAGATTTAGAACAAGGAGCAATGTTGATGTAAATGTTGCCTTGTTGTTTGTCTTGGGACATGGTAGTTTATGTGACAGCTAAGAGTTATATTATTGGTTATTCACAAAATGCCCGTCTATTCTATTTTAACAGCTAAAGAAGAAAGTAAACCGGTGGAGGCTGACAGCAAGGCTGAAACTGTTTCAACACAATCTCCAGAGAACATCTCCACAGATGCCCCTCCAACCTCTGAGCCTGCTACTCAGCAAGCCCCACCACAGAACCAATCTCAAGAGAAAACGCAGGAGCAGCAAAAGGACTCAATGAACAGTGGGATGTCTAAGCAGAAATCTGTAGAATCCATTCCCTGTAAAATTACCAACCCAGTAGAATCAGTTCTGTGTAAACCAACCAGCCAAGAAAAAACTAATCTGTCAAGAGCCACACAATCTCCATCAACCTCAGCTCCCAGACATCATGGAACAGGGGCCCTTATGGTCAGTAAGACCACATATGTCATACCAAAGAAGCAGTCCGGACCCCAGCCTCAATCTAGTCAAGGGTGCCCTTCAGTCCCTGGCCAAAAGCCTTCATCAGCCCCCTCCCTGCTGAATGAAACCAGAAATTTGCTGGTGCCACCTGCACCAAGTGCTCCCTCCTCCAGACCCCCTCAGCCCAACAACCAGGTCAGACAGAGCATCCAGCGCTCCCTCACCAGCATCCTGCTCAAAAGGTGAGCACTATTTTACTTGTATGAAAACGTGAGCTTGAGATTTTTGATGATGCAAAGTCTTCGCATATACACAAACTTTACTCTTGATGAATCATACTGTGTAAATAAAAACCAAGCCCCATGAAAAGTTCAAGTTATGGTTGGAGAAGCCAGAAAAGTGACTACCAAAACCTAAACGCATGTATTGCAACAGAATGGACATGCTCTGATAGACATGCAAAAACACTAATCTCTCTAAATAATGGAAAGAGCATTCAACAAATTCTTCATTCATTTCACTACAGGGTTTTTATTATTACAGATTATTATTATTCTGTTATTATTATTATTATTACAGATATCCAGATTGCATGCTTGACATTTGACTGCACTTTGAAAATATTTTCATAAAGTAAACATATTTTGGAAATTGTTTTATCCACAAATCAAAAATATTTTAATAAACTCTTAGATATCTTCAAATAAAGACATTATTTCCCTAAAATTAAACTTAATTGCTGTGGCTTTTGCATTTTCATAGAAATCAGGTGTATAAAATTAATCTCTCAGTTATAGCGCCACTGCACAATTAATTCAATGACGAACTGTGTTTCCTTTTCCTTTCAGGGTGTGTGACTGTGAGGATTTGGAGATGTCTGAAAGTGAAGTGGCAAAGCTTGTCGCAAGCATTGAGATGGAGATGTTTGACATATTTCGCAACACAGACAGCAAATACATGAACAAGTACAGAACCATAATGTTCAACCTGAAAGACCCAAAAAACAAGGTTTGTTCAATGTTTATTCATCCCATATCTGTTGTGTGAATGTAATTCCTTCCACAAGTTTCAATAGTGCTTTCACTTATGCAGAAACTTGTGAAGTGACTTTTTAAATCATTTATACTATCAGCAAATTCACTGTCGACTCATGGCTTCTTGTAGGGCTTGTTGTTTCATGTTGTACATGGCGAGATCACTCCCTTCAGACTGGTCAGGATGAGCCAGAAGGATATGCAGGCTGTCAAAGCATCAGAGCCAAGTCAAAAAGCAACAACAGAGGTAAAGAATAAAAGTTAATAAAACTAGAACAAAATTGATGAAGTCGTTAAAAGGTCCTACAATGGTGTTTTGGCGTTTGTGTTGCAAGTCATTCATCTACTGCTTGTGTGTTCCAGGTCAACGATGCAGCTGCGAAAGCAGCGAGTTTGCTGCAGAAGCCTGAGGCAGTAAAGGTTGATTTGCCTAGTTTGAATCCTGCCAGACCAATTAAAAGCAGGGTGTGTACTATCTACATTGTGTTCACTTGATGGAACTTATATGGTCATTCAATTTTCTCTATTGCTTTATATTAACATTTCTTTCAGTGGCTTTAGTTGTTATGATGTCTTTATAAGTTAAGTCATATTGTCTGTGTGTATATAAAATAGGTTGCCACCGAGGACCAAAAGAAAAGTCTTCCTGCTTCTTCTTTCAAGGCCAGAGTAAGCCAGCCAAGCCAGGGCAGCGCAGCACCAGATGTTCTTGCCTGTATGCTTAAGGACACAACATCAGAACACAAAGCTCACCTCTTTGACTTGAAATGCAAGATATGTACTGGTAAGTTAAAAAAATATATATATTGGCTTCGCAATACCAAGAATACAGTATTATACAATCAGTGTTATTGGTTATCAAAGTAGATTGTTATTCTTGTTTGAAGGCCAAATACTAGCTGGAGAAGATGCAGAACCTGCTAAGAAAAAACCCAAGGTTACTGAAACAAGCGATAAATATGATAACCCTCGGAGACAGTCTGCAGGAGATGACTCCCCGCTGATGGCTCCACCTGACTCACCTGACATGGATTCTCCAACATCATCCCTAATTGATCCTTCCTCCCGCCTTATCATTGACACTACAGCTCTGACTATAGTAGAGTCTCCTGCCTCCCCCATAATGGATTCTCCGGCTTCCCCAACTTTAGAGTCACCAGCTTCCCCTGTCATGGACTCTCCTGCATCCCCAACTCCAGAAACTTCTAAAGCTTCCATTCCAAAGAGGGCATATACACCAGTTGTGATTCCAGCTGTCTCCACAGTAACCATAACGAGAAGGGACCCCCGCACTGCTGCAGGCAGATTCAATCCCTCATCTAGTCCCATTAACACAACCCCAAACCAATCAGCTCCTTATGCTCCTTTTAAAGAGATAAAATCTACCTTGCCCTCAGCACCAGCCTCTTCAACACCACCAAAGAAGAAATTACCTAAATCTATCTTGATGAAACCAACTTCCTCAGCAGATCCGAGACTCTATGGCACATCTTCAAGGTATGTAAAGATCTGTGTAATATAGAGAGCATTTAATTAAGGTTTTTCAATTTAATTGTTTTTTGGTTTACATTAAAGAGCCCATATTATGCCCTTTTTGGGGTTTGTATATTTAATCTATGTTCCTACTTTTGTACGTTCACAATAACTAAAGTCCGAAAAAAGTGTCTGTTTTCATGTACTGCTCTTCCTTGCTCCCTCTACGCTGTCAGCTACGCTCTGCTGAGCCCACACTGCAGAGCCCCACGTGTGTCAAGTCTGCTCTGATTGGTCTGCCGATTCGCTCTGTCGTCTTTGGTCAGTTGCTCAGCACGCTTCTCGGAAATGTCCCGCCTCTTTTACCATATTGGGAATGCAGCCACTGGCTCCGTCCAAGGGGAGCATAAACATGAGCACCTTAGCACTACTGTGCTACCGCAGGCTACGGCATATCGTGGGCGTGCTACAGAAGTTAACGGGCATGCAACATGAGCTGCAGGGCTTGCCACAACGAGCCAATGGGCTTAGATCAGGGATCTCACACTGACAATGACGTCGGACTGACAAATTTTTATCGAGGGGGGCTAGAACTGAGCGTTACATGCAGCTAATGCTACAGCTAACAGGAGGACGTGGGAGAAGCCGCGTTTCCGCAGACTTTGAATTTTTGCAAATAGATGTGCCTAAACATGCACAGGACACTTGGAAAACACACTAAAGAGCATATAAAACCAGAAAAAGCATAATATGGGACCTTTAATACTTTTGATGTCTTGTGTGAAGCACTTTGAATTACCAGTACCTTGTTGCTTAAAATGTGCTATATAAATATACTTGCCTTACATTTGAGCAGAACTAGCATTTTTTTTGTTGTTGTTGTGGTTATTGTTTTAGGATGATGACATCTGAATCTCCAGCTGATGGTGAGACTGCTAAGTTTTTGGCTAAGGAAGACATAGTGTGGAAGGGATTCCTAAACATGCTCACTGTAGCAAAGTTTGTCACCAAGGCATATCTGGTTTCAGGACCTGCTGAAAACCTAAAAGCGGTATGTAACTACAACAGATTTTATTCACAGAGCTGTATCAAAAAGATCCGTCATAATTGTTAGTTGGTTTGACAAAAGTATGAAGATTTAATTATTTTTGTGTAGGATCTACCTGACACCATTCAAATCGGAGGACGAATCCTGCCTGAAACTGTGTGGGACTATGTTGCAAAACTTAAGACCTCTGTTACAAAGGCAAGTACTAGATACAAAATTTCTTTAAGTGTCTCATACAATATTATTGAGAATGAATTACTTATTTCCATCTTATTGTTTGTTCTTTGCTGTTTAGGAGTTATGCGTGATCCGGTTTCACCCTGCAACAGAGGAGGAGGAGGTGGCATATGTCTCCCTGTTTTCCTATTTTAGCAGCAGAGGACGTTTTGGTGTGGTTTCTAATATAAGCCGTTCAATCAAAGATGTATACCTCGTCCCACTCAGTGCAAAGGAATCAATTCCATCCATACTACAACCTTTTGAAGGACCAGGTATGATAATGCTTCGACTACGCTTAATAGTCTTTTAACAAACATAGATTTTTGGGTTAAGAGAAACAACTATAATACAGCCACAGACAGAGTAGCTGATATTCAGACAGTGGCCTAAGAGTTTTGAGCAAAGCCGCTTTACATTGACAGGGCCCAGAGAATAGGATGTTGCAACCTGATACAACTTGCAGTTAGCAAGATTATGAAAACATTTATATAATTTACTTTATAAATATATAGTTCAATTGTGCTTTGATTCCGTCTTGCATGTATATAGTGTGCCTGAATCAGAGATTCTCAGCTTTCTGTTGTTTTTGATAAATAAACAAAATGTCTCCGCTTTTATAATACATCCAGTACTAACACCAGTACAACATTAAGTTATGTAAATATTTTTTTTACACTGCTGACCAAATTCTTAGTTAAGTATTTTGAGAAGTTGAAACTGGTAGCCAAGTGTCAGTTTATCTCAATTCTTTTATTTTTCACAGGACTTGAAATAAACCGACCTAATCTCATTCTGGGTCTGGCTATCATTCAGAAGACAAAACGTCCAGGGAACTTGCCTCTGGAAATTGAGGAGAAGCGACCAAAAGTTCAGATGTCCAAAGACCCTATGTGGATCCCAAAACCTCCTGTCCTCTATGGTTCTGACAAATTGGAGATATTCCAACCTTACGATCCAGAAACTCCTGCAACCACCACCCCTCCCAGTTCTCCACCTTGCCCTGACTCCCCATCAGGATCCTCCTCTTCCGGCTCAGTCACCATACCATCCCTTTTGACATCCATTACAACAAAGCCTCCTGCTGCGACATCAGCCTCTGTCACTGCCCCTCACTCCTCTAGTAGCCTCTCTGACAAGGATCTTTCATCAGTATCCAGTGATGCAACACCTCTTCAGACTATCTTGAAGACTTTGTTCAACAATAAGAAAACAGACTTATCTGATGAAAGTTCTACAAAAACAGTTAATGTAAAAAAGGTTCCAGTGTTTTCTCAGGTGTCTAGATCAATAGTGGACCCAATTGTCCAACAGTATGGACAGAAATCTAAAGTTAAAGAAATTGAAGAGGAGGAAAATGACTTTGACCGACCCTATGACCCAGAAGAGGAGTATGAACCAGCTAAGGGATTTGGAATGCTTGCTTCAGAGATCATAGAAAAAAATAAGGGAGATGGCCCTGCAGCATCAAACTTTGTAGATGATGGTGTGGCCTATGATCCAGAGGATGAGACAATCTTTGCAGATTTTCATAGTGATGCTGTAACAAACCTTCCTGTTCCAACCCCCCCTCTTTTAATTCAAACATCAGTTTCTTCATCATTACCATCTTCCACTCTGCCCGAAGTTACAACCTCTACATCCACTCCAGCACAAACGTCTGTCCCCACTGGAGTCACAGAGCACCTTCCTATAGGCACTGTGGTTGTCTCAGCTGCAACACTAACCGAACAACAGCGGATGCTTGAGGAACTAAATAAACAGATTGAAGAGCAAAAACGTCAATTGAAAGAGCAGGAAGAAGCATTACGCCAACAGAGAGAGGCTGTGGGTATGTTCATGGCTCACTTTTCTGTTTCTGATTCTCTTATGTCTCCCCCATCAAAGCCTTTGCCTCTTAACCAGCTGTCATCTCTGCAGAGCAGTTTAAAGCAAACAGAGTCAAGTCCTTCGGAATCAACAAACAAGAATAGCCACCTTACTGAGACTGTGGACAGCTCAAATGTGGATTCACAATCTGTTAAGGTAGAAGACACAACTGCTACTCCTTACTTAAAAAATGATACAGATAGTATTACAGAGCAATCTGAAACACAGGAACATGTTAAGGAAAGTGACAAGTATTCCTCTGCTGGAGAGATTGAAGATTCTGATGTTGCTTATGATCCTGAGGATGAATCACTTTTCAATGAAATTCAAGAGGATGTATTTCATGTTGGGACTCGTGATTCATCTTTGGCTGGAACAGAGCATAGTACCAGTCGCAAGAGCAGTCCAATGAATAACCAAAGCAGAAAGCGGAGGCTATCACCAAAGAGGCGCAGTCATCGTGAAAGAGACAGACATAGAAGTCCTTCAAGAAGATCACAGAGGCGTTCTCCTTCTCATTCCCGTAGGCACCGAGCAAGAGATAGACACAGAAGAAGTGAAAGGGAGAGGTCAGGTCATAGAGCTAGAGACCAGTCTGAACGCCAGGGTCACCGTAGAGAGCGGACCGCTTCTCGACATTCTCGTGGACATAGGAGATCCCCATCCTCTCAAAGAAAAAAAGATTCTGAGTCCCCTTTAGCAAAACAGCATAGAGAACATTCCCCTCAAGTCCTTGCGAAGTCAAAACATTTAACTGTTCCGTGTACTGATCCAGACACTTCTGACTCTGTTGCTGGACAGTTTGTTGAGAGTAACACATCATCATGTTTGTCACTAACTGTAAAGAAAGACCCTGATGGACATCAGTTAAAAGGTAATCTTACTGAGAGCCTTGATATAGAACACAAAGTTCTTCACAATGTGAAGATTGAGATTGTAGAGCCATCAAAACCCCAAGAACCCCTAAAACATTCCATCATTGACCATGATGACATAGGTCGTAGTTCTTCTGCGGAGTTTGATAAACCCTCTAAACATGAAACTCTGCTCTATGACAAAATTGACAGTACAATTCCATTAAGAGAGATTGATCCGCCCATTCGAGATTCTCCTGAGAGCCCAGATCCAGAGCCACAATTTTTTAAGCCTAGCAGCAAAGAGCAAAGCGGATCTGCTCTAATTGAGGAAATCAGAGATCCTATGACATATAACAGTGTCTCAGTGCCATCTGTTAAAGTTGAAAATAATTGTCTGTCTATCAGTGGGCATGGATCATTTTCCAATGCACTGGGGCCTACTCCAATATCAGCTGTTTTACATTTCGATTGTACAGCTCAAAATTTTAATTGTCCAGTTAAAGATGAAGAAATGAAAGAGGCAGAAAAGCAAATACAAGGAGACAGCTTGGGTTTCAATTTTCCAGTAACACTGCATCAAGTGGAAGGACATTCAAATCAAGCTACAGGCTCAGATATTCAGAGCTCAGAACCAATCATGGACCCCATGATAAAGTTTCCAGAATTGAGATTTCCAGGGCCTGACATGAATGGTCCAGGCATGCTAAATACTAGAAAAGTTGATTTCCAACAACCCAATTCTGATAGCATCATTCCAGGAACAAGTATGCAAGGTTTTGGCATGAGGGGTTCGGTGCAAGATAATGAAAGTTCTAGTATGCATGGCTTGAATACAAAAGAAAAAGGACAGAGTTCTCATTTAAGACACAGTGAAACTGAAATGAGAAGACACATGCCTATAGCAGCAGCTACAAATTTAGATAAGGGTAGATCAGGCATACAGAATCAGATGAGAGATCCAGAAACAAGTGAGGCAAGTCCATCTTTAAGGTTCTCAGAAAGAGAAAGTGGTAGGTCCAATATGTCCTGCACTGAACAAGACAGTAAAGGGTCTAGAGAACATTTAAATCGGCCAAAGTCCAATGTTAATTCTGAAATAGGAATGCATGGCACCGACATGAGAGAACCAGAAACTATACTTAAAAACATTGGAGAATTAAGTCCAAACAGGAGAGAATCAGACATGCAATTAAGAAATCCACAGGGTCAGTGGCTAGAGGAGAGAAATGAACAAATGATTCAAGGAAATAGAGGTCCAATGAAAAACAATACTAATTCAGATTGGAGAGGTCCAGGCCCTGATATGAGTGGTCAGACAGGTCAAGATAAAGGTCAGAGTCTGCATATGAGGGGTCCAGACTGGAATGATCCAGGAACAGACAGGAGAGATGAATGGAGAGGACCAGAGAGGAGGGGATCAGGTCCAGTCAGAGTAGGGCAATTTATGCGAGATGAATGGAGAGTCAGGCCTGATTGGAGAGGTCAAAACACAGAGACCCAGGGGCATGACAGAAAAAGTGCAGTGAACCAAATTTTAAGAGAACCAGTGCCTGAAACACATCCAAACACAGAGGACCCCATGTATGAAAGGAGAGGACAAGTAGGTCCAGATTTTAAGAGACTATTGCCTGCAAGAAGAGGCCCAATTAATGACAATGTAGGACCTAACATAAATAGTTCAGGAACTGACAATTTTCTTGGAACAAGTCTTGACAGCAGAGGTCCAGCTATGGAAGGTCCTGGATTTAAAAGGGGAGAAGATGATTTTAGGGGGCCATGGCCTGAAAAGAGAAGTTCAGATATGGTTAGTTTAGAGCCTGGCAGGAGAGGACCAATGGACCAAGATGTAAAGGCCCAAAACCCTGGAAGTAGAGGTCAGACTAGGGCTGATAGGCAACTACCTGGGCATCCAGATTTTAGTGAATCAATGCCTGAATGTAAAGATCAATTTATCAAGGGTTTTAGGCCATCCAGGAGAGAACCTGGGGTCCAAGATTTCAGAGGATCAACCCATGAAAGGAGAGGTCCCCCAATGGAGGATCATGTAACTGATAGGAGAGGAACTGGAGGTCCTGATTTCAATTCAAGGCATGGGTCTGACATGCTGGAAGGTCAAGATTTCAGGGGTTCGGGGCCTGAAAGGAGAATTTTATCCAGGGATTATCTTGGTCCTGACAATAGAGGACCCAGAGGTGAAGACTTCAGAAGACCAAAGCATGAAAATAAATGTTCCCCTATGGAGGGTCCAAGGCATGACCCAAGGGGACCAGGAGGTCCAGATGTCAGAGGACCAGGACCTGAGAGGAGAGGTCCCTCTATGGAGGGCCCTGGGCATGACACAAGTGGACCTGTAATTCAAGATTTCAGAGAACCAGGTACTGAAAGGAGAGGACCCCCTATGCAGGGGCCAGGGCCTGACACGAGAGGAACGGGAGGTCCAGATTTCCGGGGTCTGGGTCTTGAAAGGAGAAGTCTCCCTATGCAGGGCCCTGGGCCTCAAAGGGCAGGACCTGGAGGTCCAGATTTCAGGGGACCAGGTCCTGAAAGGAGAGGTATCCCTATGGAAGGTCCTAGGCCTGACAGAGGAGGATCAGGAGATCAAGATTTCAGGGGACCAGATACTGAAAGGAGAGGTCCCCCTATAGAGGATCCTGGGCATGACACAAGAGGACCTAGAGGTCAAGATTTCAGGGGACCAGGTCCTGGAAGAAGAGGTCCCCCTATGCACGGCCCTGGGCCTGACAGGATAGAACCTGGAGGATCGGATCTCAGGGGACTAGGTCCTGAAATGAGAGGTCCCCCTATGGAGGGTCCTGGGCCTGTCCTAAGAGGTCCAGATTTCAGAGGACCAGTGCTGCAAAGAAGAAGTCCCTCAGTGGAGGGTCCTGGGCCTCACAGAAAAGGACCTGATGGTCCAGATCTCAGAGGAACAGGTCTCCAAAGGAGGGTCCACCCTATGGAAGGCCCTGGGCATGACCCAAGAGGCTCAGGAGGTCCAGATTTCAGAGGACCAGGGCCTGAAAGTGAAGGTCCCGCTATGGAGAATCCCTGGATTGATGGGAGAGGAACTCTGGATCCAAATCTCAGAGGGTCAGGGTCTGAATGGAGGGGGCTGGCTATGGAGGGACTGGAACCTGTCAGAAGGGATTCTGGAGGTTCAAATTTCAATTTTCCAGAGCCTGACAGACTAAATACAGGATTTCATGGATTAATTGGTCCAGGTCATGAAAGACTTCACACCATGGAAAATCAAGAGCCTTGCAAGAGAGGACCAGTACTTCCAGATTTCCAGGCGATGGGGCCTGGCAGAAGAGGACCAGGAAGTCCACACTTAAGAGATGCTGGCAATGAAAGGAGTAGTCATTCTATGCCAGGTCCTGGGTCAGACAGGAGGGGACCACTTATCGGGGTATCTGGGCCTGATGGTCCAAGAATCAGGGGACCAGGGCTTCAGCATTCAGGTCGAAACACACAGGGCCCAGGGCAACACATGAGAGGTCCAGATGGTCTTAACATCATGGGATCTGGGCCCCTTTAAATATGGAAGGTCCAGAATCTGATTGTAAGGTCAACACTTCAGAGGATTGAGGTATGACAGAGTTGGTATGGAGGGTCCAGGGCCAAGTACAAAAGGTCAGCAGGACATCAACATAGAGGTCCAGAAATTCAGGGCCTAGGACCTTACGAACAGAAACAGCAAGCTTAGATTACAGGGAACCTGGACTTGAGAAGACAGGTCTAGATATTACAGGCTCAGGGCCTGATTTGAGAATACCAGGTGGTCCTGACTTCAGAGACTCAGGTATTAGGCAGAAAGGCTCATATATTGAAGGCCTTGGGCCTAGAGATGAAAGGGAAGGCCTTACTTTGGTGGATTAGAATCCATCCAAGATGGCCCAGGTAGTAGAGGGCAAAGAAAGATCAGGACAAAACTTTAGGGGACGAGGGCCTGTAAGGAGAAGCTTGAGAGGATATAATGCAGATTTGAGTAAACAGGATGACAGATGGAAAGGGCCAAATTTCAGAGACTCCACCCCTGATTGGAGAAGCATAGACACAGAGCATCAATGGTCAGGTGAAAGAGGGCAAAATATGATGGTTCAGGAAACGAAAGAGAAATTTCTGGTGATCACTGGAATGACAGGGGTCCTAGTCCAATACAAGAAGGCCGGAATGAGCAGGTTCAGGAATTTTAACAGCAAGGTCCTAGTAGGGAGTGGAGAGGCCCTGGAAGAAGGGGCGAAGGCCCATGCAGGAAAGACCAAACATGCCATTTCAGGCTCTTTGAGTAGGCCAGTAGATGATTGTAGTGGTCCTGATCACAGTGGTCAAGGGCCTGTCCAGGATGACCCATTATGCCCAGGGCCTGGAAGGGAGACCCTGGAAATGAATGGAGAGAGTCTTACCAGAGGTGGTCATGGTCGTCAAACAGGGGGGGTGCTAGTCCTTATTACAGAGGGGAAAGGCATCCATACAATAGAGAACAAGGCCATGATAGAAGAGGTCCAGACACAAGAGGAGCAAGATCAGATATAAGAAGGGATTTAGACATGGGGAATGACCATGTGGAGCCAGACTTCAGAGCTGAGGCCCATAGGATGGGTCCAGACTTGATTAATTCATGTCAAAAAAGAGGATTTGAGTCTGAAGGTCTTGATAGAAGAGGCCTGGGAAGTCCAGATTTAATATACCCCGTGCCTGAAAATAGAAATTCAAACATTGAAGGTCCAGGAGCAAGTAGGAGGTTTTCAGAATATAGGGGGCGAGAATTTGAAAGACCAAGTGTATGCATGGAAAGCCCTGAAACAGGTAGACAGAGATTTGAGAATTAAAAAGGGAAAGAAAACATCTAGATATGAAAAGACGAAGCCTTGAAAGAACAGATTTGAGGGGGCCAGAACCTGAAGGTTCAGATATAAGACATGAGCCTGGGAGGTGGAATACAAACACTGAGGGCCAGGGTTAGACCAAGGAGATCTGATGCAGCTTCACTCACCTATTTCAATAGTCAGGGTCCTCGATTCCAAGGCCCTAGGGATCCACATTCTGCACCATACAATGGGCCCTTCTTGCATCTCAAAACATTGGCAGTAACACACGTCACAGTTTTGAAAACCTACCAAATCAGCAAGTAGCAAAACCCAGAGACACAGAGTGGCCTTACTTCCAACTCCAACAGGTCTTGTACGTTTCCAAATCGGACAATCAACAAGCCTGATATCTGCAGCCCAAACAAAAACAAACAGTTCCCCCAACAGACAGGGAAAGTAATAGAATTAGGCAAGTGGAGTTGTGAAAGCAGTTGATTAAGGACAAAATATCTGTTGATAAAATAAGCACACCTGTAGATGGAG